CCCACATTGACTATGTCCAGTTTTATATTTTGTATTGTAAAAATTTGAAGAACATATAAATTACTTTTCTCCAAAGAAAAATGAAAAATCAACCCCTAAATCGCTTTTAGCTTCATCCAATAATCACCTAAAGAGTAAACACAGCCAAGCCTTTGTCATCAAAACGGCGAGAAGGTTTTGAAAGATATGCTGTGTTGAATCGGTGATTCAATGTTTTGGTTTTGTTTATTATTTAGGGGTATAAATAATAAATTATTTCAAAAACATTCAATAATTTCTCATTGCATGTTCCCTGTAGCAGAAAACTTCCTCTTATCTTCTTCACAAGCTCTAGGTTGTTTTTGGAAAGTAGATATTTTAGTTAATTTTATTACCTTTTTATAATAAAACTTGCAAAAAAGAATAATTAATTTTTTTTGTAGTGATTTCTTAAATTTTTAATTATTTTTGTGTGTTGCAAAACAGCCCTCAAATAGGCAGCAATCCAAGTTTCAGTTTGAGTTGGGTGTACTCGTCCACCATTGTGATAACTAAACAGTGGTTGAAAATTTATTTATTTAGTGATTTTTTAATTTTTTACGAAAATATATTAAAAAATAAAGAAATAATTTGTCAATTTATAATAAATAAATTATTTATAGATTGTTGCCAAATCACCACTAAGTCTTCTATGGTAACGGTAACCGTGATACAAGTGGATCACTTTAAAATTGTGTTTGATTTGTAAATTTAGAAAGGAAAAAAAATTGAAATATAATTTTATTTTTATTTATCTATTATTTTCAAATTCATCAACCAAACCTAGTTGACCCACCACACAGACCCTTCTCTCTCTTTTAGAGTACGTAGATATTAAATTATGAGAAATGTTTGACAGTTCTAAATCAAGAGTTTTAATGGTCCGTTTGGTGTAGTTGTTAAAACAGTTTATAAATTATAACTTAATACATTATAAATTATGACTTTAATCAGAAGTTGTTAATCTATTTGGTGTAACTGTTGGATTATAGATTTAAATTGCTGAGTAGTGTTTGTTAAATAAATTGTGAAATAACTTTTTCAATAAATTTTTATTTTTTATTTGTCTACATTTCTCATAAAAAATAATAATAATAATCTATAATTCATTTGAGTCTTTTTCTATTTTTAAAAAAATAAAAAATAAAAAAATTTAAGAGTATAACCATAAATTAACATGTCCACAGCAGAAATTGATAATCAGAAGCAAAGGGTGAACAGATTCTTAGAATCAGTTTTTTTGAGTTAAAATAAATTGTTAGAATCAGAAGATGTTTGAAATAAGTTTAACCAAACAGTCTAAAATAATTTTTTCAAAGCTAAAAGCCATAAGTTGGCTCTGAAAAGCTAAAACAAACACCCCCAATGTACTCAAAAAAAAAAAAAATTCAAGAGTTTAAAAAAAAATTTAATAGAGATAAAAATAAATAAATAAATAAAGCAGTTTTAATGGGTGGAATTCATCTATTAATTTATGTTAAGTTTGGTAACCTAAAAATAATCGATCTTTTTATTTTTTTTTCATTACATCACATTTCTACTTTTTTACACATCTTTTCGTAAAAAGATAAAAAATATACTTATTTAGCTCGTCCCAAATAACCTCTAATGTTTTCACTTTTTTATTTTTATTTTAATTATCTTACCATCACATTAAATCTTTTGTTAGAATTTAAAATTTAAAATTGCATGGGTGTTTGGGAAGTGGATTTTTATGTAAGTGTTTTTAGTTGTAGGATATTATTGGAGAATTTTTTTTTTTTTTATATTTGGGTAGATAGTTGAATTTTTTTGTGGTTGAATGTGATGTTTGTAAGAGAAAAAATAAAATGATTATGAGGTTGAATGTGATATTTTGTTTATATTTATTTTTTTTAATTTTGTAAAACTTTTGTCTTGTATTGAAAAAAATCAAAAAAAAAAAAAAAAAACCAAATTGGGTTTGGTATTTCCAGCTAAAGCGTGAACAACGCGCTATTTTCAGATCTACAAATACTCAAAAACACTTTCTTTGAAAATGATTCTCTCCAAAAACTTCACCAGAACTTTCCTCAAATTCCCTCCGCCCATTCTCATCCCCAAATTCGGCATCAAATGTCGTTCAAAAGCTCAGATTCTCCTGCATTGCCATACCCAGAAAACTAGGTCCTCTCTCTCTCTCTCTCTCTCTCTCTCTCTCTCTCTCTCTCTCTTCGATGTCGAAAGGGTGTTGAACAAGCCTAGAGATCCGAGGCACTCGGACTCGAAAGGATTCGGACCTACGAATCTAGAGATCCGAAGCACTTGGCTCCGAACGGATTCAGATGCAATCTAGAAGCCGCTCCGTTAATGAGTCCCAGAACACTTGCGGGCTTGGAGCTTTCCGGGATCTACGCACCAGAACCATGGGCGTAATGGAGTTCGAACAAAGGACCCGATCCCGAGGACGGTGAGTGGAGATAAATTCACTCTTCGGTTAAACTAGCCTATACCCGGGTCGAGGTGGCACGACCCCGGGGGGTCCATGAGACTCGGCAATATTTTTGCGGCAGGACGTCCTCTGGGACTACCCCTGACCCTTTGGGATGATTGGAGATCATTGGTTAGGTGTGGCTAAGAAGAAGGGTTCGCCGAGGGATTGATCTCCTCTTCGGGGTTTTCTCATCCTCGGAGAAGTCACCTCCTCGGAGAGGTCACCTCCTCGGACAAGGTGGTTAGAGAGAATATCCCCCATGTGCCTTGCACATGGGCTCCATCCTACATCATGAGGTGCCTATAAATAGCACCCACCCATAGCTTTACAAGGGATGGATTTTGGAGATTTTTTTTTAACTCTTGGGAAAGAACTAATTTCCCTTATCCATTATCAACCTTGAGAGTGAAAGTGGGAGATCAATGGGAGAGCCTTGCCATTATTCTATTCTCTAGCCATTTTGCCTTCTTCTTCACCCAATCTCTTATCTCCATCATCTCCTTTGTTGTTGTGTTCCTAAGTTGAGATTATTGAAGAATCTAAGCCTCTCATCATATTCTAGAGAATTCGAAGTTGTTCTTCAAGGATCTTTGAAGATCTTCGAATTTTCCAACTCCTTTCTTGAACCCTCTCCTACACTTTGAAAATGATTCTCTCCAAAGACTTTACCAGAACTTTCCTCAAATTCCCTCCGCCCATTCTCATTCCCAAATTCGGCATCAAATGTCGCTCAAAAGCTCAGATTCTCCTGCATTGCCAAACCCAGAAAACTAGGTCCTCGCTCTCTCTCTTTCTCTCTTCGATGTTCTTTACTCTGAGTTGAGTTGTCGGTTCATCATGTCATCATTTTTTTTATTTTGTAAAATTTATTTTATATTATTTATTAAAAAAATTAAATTGATTAAATAATTATAACTTATTTATTCTATGTTGTTATTTAAAATAAAATAGATGGTTTATTTTTAAGAATATATTTATCATTCATTTGTTTAAAAACAAACACTACAAAATAAAGTGTCTATAATTATCAAATTAATTTAATTTTTTTATACAGAATATAAATAAAGAGTGCTACAAAATAAATGGTTAAAATAATTTAAACAAGACTCAGAGTGATTGTAATGATACAGAGCCCGAATATAAAGGCTCGAATTTGGCTCGAAATTAGGGGGAAGAAGGAGGAGGAGGAGAAGAAGGAAAAGAAGAACTGGAGGGGCCAACAAAATCGGACGGTGGTGGAGGTGGAGGTGGAGGTGGAGGTGGAGGCAGAGGCGGCGGCGGGCGGAGGCAGAGGTGGAGGCGGGGCTGCGATGCTGACGAGCGACGAGGGACGAGTTGCGAGATCGGTCAACAAGCTGGGACGCCGACGAGCTGCGACGACGCCGACGAGCTGCGTTCTCGCTCTCACCTCTGTGTTCTCTCTCTCACCTCTGTTCAACTCAACAAAGAAGAAGAAATAAAAGGAAGAAAAGGACGAAAAGAAAAGGAAGAAAAAAGAAAAGAAAAGAAAAGAAAAAGTCAAAACCCAAAACGAAGTTGTTTTGAGTTTTGAACCAAATTCGAGCCCCTAATTTCGGGCCCTCAAACATTATTCTTGAAAAAGTTAATTAAAAGCTGATTTTTTTTAAAATTTTTTTATCCTTCTATATATAAAAAAATGTAAGAAATAATATGATTCAAAATAAATTAAACAAACTAAAAACTAATTTTTAGCTAGTTTTCCAATTACCCCTCAATATAGGGGTCACGGCCCAACTAAATTATGAACGAGAGACCAACTCATCTTTCAAGTCTATTGCACTTTAAGGGATGGTTTGACATTTTTAAAAAAAATCAAAAAATTAAAAATACCTATTTTATTTAAATCGCATTATTTCTCTAACACATTATTTCAAATTCAATCAAAATTCAATTTATATTTCATAAAAAGTCAAAAAATATGTTTATTTAGATCATTCCAAACAATTCTAAAAGTCTATCAATTTTGAAATTGTGAATTTCTTTCCCATGGTACCGGCCCCCCCAAGAGGTGATAATTGATTAATTTCGCCAGCCAACCTTGTACAACGCGAGCGGATCCTCTAGAGTAACCCTCTAGAGTGATCTCCTAAAGTGAGCGGATCGGACGGCTCAGAATACTCCTCACCAAAACGACGTCGTTTTGGTGAGGAATATTCTGAGCCGTCCGATCCGCTCACTTTAGGAGATCACTCTAGAGGGTTACTCTAGAGGATCCGCTCGCAGTGTGAAAGGGTAGTTATATCTAGGGATATGTTTAAAAAATTAAATATTTCGTATCAATGGTTTGATAAGGTGAGTGTATTGGTATATTTTTATATCAAATCGGAATACTCGGGGAAATTAAAATTACTTTGACATTGTGTATGCAGAAAAAAAATGGCTTGAGGTTGACAAACATTTCATAGCGTAAGATAAACATTTTGGTGCCAATCGAGCCCTAATAAAGTAAGGCAGAGGTTTCTCTCATCATTTGTGTGTGCAAACGATAGGTGAAGAAGAAGAAGAAGAAATGTCGGACTATCTACCTGAAGAAGTGTGGATTCGTAATATCCTCCCAACACTATCCATCAAAACCCTCCTTCGATGCACAAGCGTCTGCAAATCATGGTACTCTCTCATCACCAGCCCTAGTTTCATTTCCACACACCTCAATCGAAACAAACAACAAGACCCACCATTACTACTACTTAGACATTGCTCTGAGCATCCTAGGAAAGAGCATTTCTCAATACGCCATGACAATCCCACACTCGATGACTATGCTGAGCTTGATTTTCCATTTCATAGCGTAAATTGGTATTTCAGGATTGTGGGTAGTTGCAATGGTGTGGTTTGCTTGTCTGATGATCACATGTGCTATGTACACACCATCATTTTATGGAACCCATCAATTAGAAAATCTTTTAACCTCCCAAGACCCAATGTTGTTTTTCAAACCCATGGCCCTTTTATGCTTCAATTGGGTTTGGGTTCGATTCAATCAATCATGATTGTAAAGTGGTTAGGGTTACCTATGTCGAAGATGATGATGGTTTTGACATTGTTCCACCCGAGGTTGAGCTTTACTCGCTCAGCAGGGGATGTTGGCAAAGCATTAGTTATTGTGGTCTTCAAAGCATTATTCCCGAGCGATCACCACAGGTTTATATCAATGGGGCAGTACATTGGATTGCATATGATCGGAAAACAAATGGAAGTATTCGCCGTAGTTTGATTGTGTCTTTCAATATGTGTGATGAGCTGTTCCGAGAGATTTTTCTACCAGATAGCTTGGCTGCCCAGCGTGGGATAAACATAGAGATCAACGTATTTGGGGAATCACTTTGTGTGATGCATGATGTTTTTTTATCTGGTTCTAACCAAACATATGACATGTGGGTGATGGAAAAGTATGGTGTAGTTGAGTCGTGGACTAAACTATTTGCTATCATCGATTATCAAAAAGGTTTGGGCTGGTTATTGGGTTTAGGAAGAACAATGAAGCCTTGTTGGTAAGTAGTGGAAATTTGGTGTCTTATGACCCTGAAACAAAAGAAAAGAAGAATCATGGGATCCATGGTATTGGCTACTTGTTTTATGTGGATACTTATGTTGAGAGCCTGGTCTTAGTCAGGGGGTCGAACGGACTCTCAGGGAGGCATGAATTTGTTAAGGAAACCGAACAAAAAAGAACAGCAACAAAGAAAAGGAAGAACAGGCAACGTACATTTTTAATGGGAACAAAAGGCGAGATATGATTCTTACTTGTT